TGGCAATGCTCAGATAGGAACATGTAAGACGTTGTAATTATACCTAATGGACCAATTGTTGTGTGGGAAGAGATGGGTTACCTAAACGGTACAGGTATTCCAATAGAGTATTGGTTAAAATGATAAGATTCGCTTTTAAGTTTATTACAAAAAATAACAAATTTTGTATTCAATGCATTTCGACTGTCTTAAAAAATAGGATTCGATTGGTGGGGTGGAGATGGGGACGGTGGGGAGCGTACACACACATATCATTACTAAAATAACGTTTTATTAACATGTACAGAACATACACATGTACAAAACATACACATGTACATGTACAAAATGTATTGAATCAATTAAATAATCAAGTTATTTTTCTGAATTTGCATTCCTATATCCTACCTCACGATAATATGAATGTCATAAAAAATGGAAATATATTTTGAATGTATTTCTTCTCACTAGTTCAATCTCTTTTATTTTCAGTGTCTCAGGTCAAATCTACCGATCCACCAAGGTGCAAGATCGATGTACTATAATTGTTACCGGATCAACACGATGTATATTAAGTAGCCGGAACACAATGTACTATCATTAGCCGGATCTATGTGATATACAGATAATTGCACACGGATATTTATTAGGTTTTATACCACTGGATCATCGGAATTTAAATTAAATTTGGAAGTTATGTTTCTTGATTAACGAACAAGTAATCCTCGAACGATATTACGTACTTAAATATAATCAGGCTTAATCATTATATTATATTATATAACACTGCATTACATTTATTTAGTTCTGATGCAACATTTCCGAGTATGTAAGAAATAAAAGTTAACTGATGTGTAATTTAAAAAGCATCATTGTGTGTACTTCTTCCTTTGTCTTAATTGCAATAATAATATATATTTAATGATATCAATCAGTATATAATCGACTTAAATATATTATAATAAATTGGAATGGAATATACCACTAATATAGGTTACTGCTACATATCTTATAAACACGAATATTCCATTCACATGATACAAATTACGAAAACTTTCAAAGCAAGGTGCCGTCAAATTTTACAAAACAGGAAATGACGTCGGTTGCTAGGCTACAGCTCATGCATATTCAGTAACACCTGTGCTCATTAGACTAACAATAAAAACTTTTAGCTCAGTTTTGACAAAATCGACCAAAAAGATTTTATTGTTAGTCTAATTAGAACAGGTGTTACTGAATATTCATTATTATGCATGACTTGTTGCTTAGCAACCACGTCATTTCCGGTTTTATTGCTTTTTGTTGAGGGCGTACTCGATAGGATATCATTGCTTGTTTAATCATGGATGTATTATAGTAATTAAATACCTCAATGGTTTAATTGAAAAAGTAGCTAATATTGACGAAGCAATTCTTCTTTACTTTTGGTTTAGGCTTATTAGGATATTTTACTGTAGCTATTGAATTTAAGTAACAAAGTAAACAATGAATAAGATGAGAAGAAATTCATAACTCCATTTGATATTTATTTTCAAGCATTGAAATCAAGTTGGCATATATGTATACATTTTATTTTATATAGGACCTA